TGATGTATGTTCAGAGCTGCATTGCAATATTGATTGTTCGGATCATTGGTATCTAAGTCTTCCGCTTCGCCATCTTGCACTTCGTATGAGAGGTCGGTTCTTGTTCTGGTCTGCACAGTTACAGTATGCAACAAATGACCTCTCAAACATCAGCGATGAACATGCAGCCCTGAGCACCTCAAAAGCAAATCATGAATACTCCTGCCCGCCGCCTTCCGGTAAGACGAAGCACAAGAAAAAAGAGGAAAAATGTTACCCAAACCCCCTCCAAAAACCCCTTCGCTCCCACCTCAGTGAGGAATAGGCAGCACTCGGAGTTGAAAGCCGAACCATCACATTCAATATGACGGTTCTGCACGTCACCTTCAGATAAGACAAACCACCGAAGAAGAGAGGAGGAAAATGTTACCCAGAAGCCCCCTCCCGAAACGTCCTTCGCTTGCACCTCAGGGGAGAACACATAGCCATCCAATTTGAAATCTGAACCATCGAATTCAATTTGACAGTTCTGCATGAGTAACATCACATGCAGTATGACGGTCCTGCACATCGCCTTCAGACAAGACGAAGCAACGGAGAAGAGAGGAGCAATGCTACTAAACTGGAACTCTCCCCAAACCCCCTTCACTCACACCTCAGGGAGGAACAGGTAGCTATGAAAGTTGAAATCCGAACCATCACATTAAATATGACGGCTCAACATGAGTAATGACCTCTCACACGGCAGCGAGGAACATGCATCCATCAACACCGTCAAAGCAAATAACGAGTACTTGTGCCCGTCGCCCAAGGAGCAGACAAAGCACTGGAAAAGAGAGGAGGGCAAATGTTATATCCGAAGTGCGCCCCCCTCCCCCCCCCCCCAACTCTGCAATCAAAATTAGTATGGCAGTGTTGGGGGGCAAACGTTGAACTTGTAGGCAGTGCAGCTCATAGTGAGGAGGTTTAGGAAGTTGCTGTAATTTCATGGCCTGCCCCTATGTTGTTGTACTCGGAGGGGATGCAGCCTGCTATTGAACTTGTAGGGCTGCAGCGCATAGTGAGGAGGTCTAGGAAGTGACTATATCTCCATCGCCCCCAGAGAACAACACCATGTCGTCCTCCACAGAGAACAATGTTTCCACCGCTGTTGTCCATGCTCTACATTTCGGATTCTCGATTCAGGATTGTATGGAGTACTTTTAGGGGCAACGGTTTAGGCAAGGCAACCAGGAAAAGAACAGCTCCGACAGTGAAGTCCGGTAGATTGGGCATATAATACCGTCCCCATTGTCGAAGGATGACTCTGACAGGAAGTGAAACCTGAAATTGGCAATAGTTGTATCAAACATGACCGTTACCGACACTTGACTCCCACGGAAATTGGGATGAATCTCATGACTTTTAAAAACTCTCAATGTCAACTACCATGATGAATATCGCGGTTCGGGGAAGAAGAAGGTTCGCTCAAGACAACAGCCTCCCCTGTCAGAACATTCATGACACGAAGAGCAGCAACCAACATATGATGGTCGTCTCCGACTGACACTGACAAAGACGGCCCAACATATAGGGCCTAGTTGCACTACTCGCCATACACCAAGTTTGGCGAGTAGGCGCCTGGTTGCACTTACTCGCCAAACTTGGCGAATGCAAAATGTGTCAGACGGCTCGCCACACAGTCGACACAAGTTGTGGAGAGTGTTTTCGGTTCCCCCGCCTGTGCACGGCGGTTTGTGGAGGGTGGTCCTCGGACCTCTCCACAAAACAACTTTCTGGAGAGTGCAGGGGCCAGCAGGGCTTCACGAGTCGACATCAGGTAGACAAAAATTTCTAACTTTTCTGTAGAACAAATATAGTGGCGAGTAAGTGCAACCATGCCTCAATTTCAACACGATTCTCATTTTTTTCACTCTCCACGCATCCGCCACGAATTGTGACGGATGGCGAGTAGTGCAACTAGTCCCATAATGCTTGTCACCAACTGACACCAACAAAGACAGCCCAAAAGAGATTCAGATTGAAAACAAACGCATGACTCCCACAGAAATTGACATGGTAAAAAGGGTGAGAACTGGCCAGCCCTAGGTGATTCAGAATTCTAGTACTTCAGTACTCATTTGCTTCCTGTAAAGTCTGACCTCACTGCAGGTCTGTATTTCAACGGTTCAAGAGTGTACCAACTGAGCTATGCCAGTTGGTGGCTTCCCCCCCTGTTGTTCCAGAAACAACAGGCAATCGTTTGCATGTTAGACTCCAAACAAAGCAGTACCTCCACTGTGGTAGGGGCAGCAACATCCGGTGGCAGGGAGGGAAAAGACAATAATC